TGCCATTCTTATAGGGCTTTTGTCATTTAGTATAATTAGGCTTGGACTAATGGTTTTTAGCCAAGCATTGATCTTGCTTAGTTTCTTAAGTGTTCTTTCATCTTTGTAAGACAAGATCTTCTTTTTAATCTAAAGTTTTGTATTTGCATCATTAAATCTTCTCTAATCTCCTTCCTAATCATGTTTAACATCATTTACTCTTGTGATTTGGTGTTTTTCATGAACATGAGTGAGTATAATTTTTAGGATTCTTAGATGTGGTAGATTAAGGGAATTTAGAGGCTTGATTTGGATTTATTAGTGTTTAATTAGGTTGATTCCTCTCTATTAATCTGTGTTTAGGGTAGATTTGTCTTAATCACATAAATCTAGATTTAGGCTTCATCTTATGCCCACCAAGTGTTTGATGAAATACTGATCTTGTTTAAAAGAGGATTTACTGGTCTTAGCTCAAGAGATTGACTGTTTGAGAAGTATTTTGGCTTGAATAGAGTTGGTTTTGCATGCTTGTCGATTGTTCTAGCACTAATGAGAGTTAGTTCTTTTTAGGGTGATTAGCAAAGGGTTATTTGCCAAGAGATTGGACTTAACTTGCTTGATTGTGAATTCTATGCCTAGGAATTAACATTGCTTGCTTGTTTTCATTGTCAATGATGTTGATAACAGTCTAGTCTTGCCTTTGAATTTCCCAAGGTCAATAACCACATCTAGGAGCTTGCTTTCTCTTATTGAATTTCGAATTTGCTTTAGTACTCTGTTTTTGTTGCTCTGTTTTGCTTGGAATCATTGCTAAGTTGTTCTCTTTTAGATTCTGCTTGGTTCTTGGTTCTTTTAGGTTGATAGTTTAGTTGCTACGCAACACTCTCTTCTTTGATTGATAAAAACTTTATACTATACTACAACTGATTAGTACAAGGGTGATTGACCAAGGACTCAAAAACCTTGTATCAGAGAGAAACATAGATTTTTGGGGAATGGCAGAGAGACGTTTTCAGAATTGTGTATGAACTTAAGCGTCGATTTTTTGATGAATCTATCTTGTCTTGAGTCGAAGACAGATTGAAAAGAAACTTGTAAAATATGAGAAGAGGGAAAATACACAACACCAATTTAACGAGTTCAGCGCAAGAGCCTACATGTCGCCAGAGATCTATCCGGAATCTAGTAGAACCGATCTGCTCAAGCTCGAGCTCTAATTTCTGTAACAATCTTCCACTTTCTTTCAAAAACATGAGACTTTTGTCTTGCCTTCATTTTTAACTGGACCATAAATAATTTTTTTAATGTAAATACAATAATTTGTTTGGTTTTTGTTGGTCCATAAAAAAAATTTAGTAACCCATTACTGATGTTTTATGATTTTTTTTATAAGAGGTCTATTTTCATTTATTAAAATGGTTGGCTGCCGTCAGCCCCCCCCCCCCCCCCCAAACTACACGTTGTCTACCTATTCACCCCCAAACTATAGACCTCTGCATATTCCCACCCAAACAATTTTTTATCTGTCTATTCCCCCAAATTCAATTAAAAATTAAAATCGCAATCAATTTACGAAATTACGTTTTGGTTAGTTGCGTTTCGGAGGGAAATATGTAGAAAAAAATTGTTTGGGTGGGAATAAGCAGAAGTGTAGTCTAGGGGGGGAATATGCAGAATTTATTAAGTTCAGGGGGCTGAGTGCAGTCAATTTAATTTTTAGATTTTTTAATATATTTAACACATGATTAGCTTAATTATATACAACATATATTTGTATAGTAAAAGAAATTTATATTTCAATTAAAAATAGTTGCAATATGACAACATAATTTATTTAAAAAAACAAACCTAAATTTTGTTATTATACATACATAAACATATTATTCTATTGTTTCAAGTATTTTGGTTTGAAATACTAATAGAAAAAATTATTTTTTGGGATATACTTGATATTATAAGACTTGTTTACTTGACATTGGACATTTTAACTAATACAAGTTTATCTTTCTATTGGTTCGAGTATTTTGATTTGAAGTGTTAGTAGGAAAAAAGTATTTTTTGGGATTTATAAACTTATATTAATATATTCGAACCTATATGATGATAAATCTATACTAATTAAATCGTGTAAAGTGAACAAATTGTGTATAGTAAAGTAAATCCCAAAATATAATTTCTTCTAATAAAATTATACTAATTAAATCGTGTAGTGTCAAGTAAATAAATTGTGTAATGTCAAGTAAATCCCGAAGTATAGTTTCTGCAATCCTGCTATTAGCACTTTAAATCAAAATACTTGAACCATGAATGGCGTAGAAGAGGTTTTAACTCTCTGTCTAACCAGTCATTACTCATATGTGTTAATTTAAGCACAAGATGTACATTCGGCATCTAAGTTTGAAGTCTCTAACCCATCTGTGTTGTGAGTTTTTAGTGGCCTAATTTAACAACACATTCGTTTATTTCAGAGATTATAATCGAAATACTCAAACCAACATGATGATAAAATTGTATTAATTAAGTTGCCTAATGTCAAGTAAATAAGTCCTGTAATATCAAGTATATCTCGAAGAATAGATTTTTCTATTAGTATTTCAAATCAAAATACTTAAAACAAAAGAATGATAAGTTTATGTATATATGTTAGTTTTGGTTTTTTTTTTAAATAAATATATTGTCATATTATTACCATTTTTTCATATCAATATACGTTTCTCTTACTATATGTTGTGTATATAATTAAGCTAATCATGTGTTAAATATATTGAAAAATCTAAGAATTAAATTGACGGCCCTCAGCCCCCTGAATTTAATTAATCCTGCATATTCCCCCCTAGAATACACTTCTGCTTATTCTCACCCAAACAATTTGTTTTCTGCATATTTCTCCCCCAAAACGCAATCTAACCAAACCGCAATTTCGTAAATTAATTGTGATTTTAATTTTTAATTGAACTTGGAGGAATAGACGGATAAAAAATTGTTTGAGTGAAAATACGCAGAGGTCTATAGTTTGAGAGAGAATATGTAGACAGCGTATAGTTTGGGGGCTGACGGCAGTCAATCCTTATTAAAACAATAAAATTAAAAATATATATATATATATATATTATATATCTTTTTATTTGGCTCAGGCTCCCAAATTTTCAGGGTCTGACTTTGAGTAAACTCGGTATATCTTTAGATCGCACAGTTGCTTTCAAACCATTTCGATGTGAAAGATGCCTCGTAGATTTATTTTGGAACCAAAAATGAGCTCAATGAGACGGTGAGAATGCCTCGATTGGATGTCAAATTTCTGATATTTTGAAACTGTCCAGAAACAGGATTTACTTTTTTGTCTAAATTACCAATAAATATTCTTGACACTCAAATATTCTAAAAATACTATTGTAACACTAAAACCAAACGAAATATTTGTTAAAATATATGAAAACCATAGTAAAAACTTGGCCAGAGACCAGTCCATGATCAAGAGAGGACAGGCGGGCCATGGTTTATGACCACCAATATTTTAGTTAATTTTTTAGACCACAAATAAAAAAAATTAAATTTATTAGACCACAATATTGACAAACTTATAATTTTATACTATTTTTATCTAAATAATTATATTTATTGGGCTATAATATTGCTAAATTTATTATTTTAAATTACTATTATCAAAATATTAAATATGAGGATAAAAAACAAAATTTGCTTTGGACCACCAAAATACTTGGACATGCTCTGGTAAAAACGTGTAAAAAGACGAGTATATGAAGAAGATAAAACCACGAAAGTGTTATGTGTTAACCTGAACTACCTTAAACGAGCAATTACGGTATAACATATGAGAGTTTAAGTTATAGAGCTTTGTGAATGCTAATCAAATCTAAACCTATTGCGTGTTTAGTCTCATAATCGTCTGCGAGAGTTGAGCAATTAGGTTGTTAAACATAAGTAGTGGATACTATGAGAAAAATATCGATTATTTATAAGCATTTCAAGTTCTAAAACCTATTTGATATTATATATCATATTTAGTCGTTAATCTATGAATCATGAAGATATCTCTCCTGTCCAACACCTTATTGAATTTATGCATCGTTTTTCTTGCTTTACTTTGTTTTTTTCGTTTTAGTTATTGTCTGCAACCAAATCCACTCATACTTTCATCTTAAATAGAAACTGTTTTTAGGATTCATAAGATAACAAACAATCTCTAAATTTGATTCTTTAATATACTACTGTAATTATTGAGCATTTGCAAGTTGCTTTTACAACTAAAATTTAGGATAAAGTTATCCCACATAAACTGTCAAATAAGGTTAGTCTGTCTTGGTGCAATACAAATGTACATGGTGTAAAACAAGATTTTAACATGGGAGGTCTTTGTTCTGACTTTTTGCACAAGCCTCGTCACTACAATGACGTTGTAGATGCTTTGCTAGAAAAGGATCTTGGGACTGTATTTTATAGTTGTTCCTTGATCATTCCTTGTTATAAAATCATCAAGACTGTATTTTCAACTTCTTAACAAAGCTAATAGTTCTAGTAAATTTACAAAAAAACAAAAAAAAACAAGAGCCGCTATGTGACAAAATACAGTATGGGCTTTCAATAAAAATCAATTAATCATAATCACATAAATGGCCGACTCAGTTAACTAATTTTTTTCAAATATTTCATAAAGTTAATTGGCAATAGATTAATTAAATTATCCAAACAAATCCAGAAAAGAAAAAACAATTTCATTCTCCCATCATTTCACTATCACCCTCTCAACTTTCCCTTCAATCACACCACCAGCCAAATCATGATCCTCAAATCATTTTTTCCTTAACTCAGATTATAAATACGACCAAATTATATTTTCTTCCAAAAATTGAGGACCAAACTTGCCTGTGATGGCATTCTGGTGAAAGCCTCTGCAATGGTGGGAGCTTGAGGGTGTCTTCTTGTTTCTTTCATTTTTTCTTTTATAAACTGAACTGTAAAAGTAAAAACAAAGCTCTTTTTTGTCTTCTTGTTTCTTTCGTTCATCCTATTTTCCTCTTCTTAGCTGTGTTCAAGCCTGTTGTCTTGCAGATTGGGCAAATATTCTTCTGTTTCAACCATTCTTTTATGCATTGGCTATGGAACTCATGACCACATTCAAGTGTCCCCATGTCTTCTCCTTCAGTATATTCCTCCTGCGCCAAGTTTCACCATTCATACTCAAATGAAACAAAATCTAATCTTTCTTATCATTATGATCTAATCTTATACACTTACCTGACAAATACAGCATGGCTCTGCATCATGTGGAGACTTTGTGCTACATTTGTATTTCCTCTGCTTCAACCGGTTTGATATTGTTTCTTCGTTTACACCGGTACAAACATCTCCAATACGCTCTTCTAGAGCCAACAATTCCTAAAGTTCATGAACCAAAGGAGTAAGGTTTCTACTATTTAACATGACCTCAAACTTTAATTCTATGGCTTGTTATCGCTTTTTCACCTCATATGACATGTTGTCTACATCAAGTCGCATGTCTCTATAACGGTCATGCATACCAGCAGCACCATCAAATATCACAGAAGGATTTAGAAGCATAAAGTCCTGAACAAACAGCCATTTCAGATTACTTTAGCTCCGGTTATTAGTTAAGTTCATCAAGAAACCAACAGAGACAGAGACAGACACAAGACAAAGTTGTTTTCTACTGAGCCTAAAGGAAAAGCTAACCTCAAGCCGCATGGTATTATTAGGATCCCTACGCATTGCATCCAATACACTCTGCATCTGTCCAAAAGAAAAGCTCATTGTCAGTTCTATTAGAATGGTTGCTAACAAACACCATCCAAGCTAAACGGTTCATGAACTTGTATGAACTAACCTGAGACATCATATGTCTGCTTCTTCCTCTGCTTGCAGCTGCAAAGGCCCGTAAAGATTGAGGAAGCCCAGCCACACTATCACCACCTTGCCTATCAAGCCACGGACCTGCTCTCGAGTAAGCACGATTATGCGTCTGACTATTATCACCACCAGGCTGAAGCACAAGCCCATCCGGAGAGGCAGGAGGAGCCAACGAACGAAGTGTTGGATGGTCACCGGATCTCTGGTTTGTAGCATCTACAGCTAAGGAAGAAATTAATGACCTACGGACAATTTCTGATCTTCTTCTTTGATGATGCGGTAGATTCTGGTAAGTAGTCCACGTTAGATTATTAGAAGATGGCGGTTGAACAGTTGTGGCTGAGCCTGTCCTGGACACTGATGATGATGCAACATTCAGGTTTCCACTAGTTGTGTTTCGGCTACTACGGGACAAGTTCCTGAGTTCAGGAGCTGGAACAAACAAGGGGCTCTCTATAATGTTTCTTGATCTGGTTTCATCTAGATGAACGGGCACAGTAGAGCTCGATGAACCACCCGCTAGTGATGATCCCTCGGTCCATTGAAACGGCGGTAGCATATTCCTAGAAACAGGTGGTATGCTGATAGCTGGAGAAGGACTCAGGTTACGAGTAAAGACATTGCCTAAAGATTGTCCATGTCTCAAGTCCAACATATGTTGATCTGCTGGTGGTAGAAGTCTTGATAAGTTCGACTGGGACGGTGCCACTACAGGTCGCCTGACAACAGTTCCTGCAGAAAAGGCGGATGGGTTTAGAGTTTCTTGCTGATCTGATAGATTACTCCTCACACATGTTCTCCTACTTGAGCTCTCTGCAGTTGCAGAAACAGTACCAGAGACCAGGCCATGATCAAGAGAGCCAGATATGTTTAAACCATTTCCACGCCTATAACCCGTAGAAGTTTGGTTCCAAGAACTGCTTTCTCCGTGGTGGTAATCACGATAACCTCCTGAAGAAGAAGATTGACCAATACTACCTTCAAGAGCCTTTCTCTTGCAGGAAGCACGTCGTCCCTCTACAGAAGAACTTGTTCTAACACTATTTTCTTCGAGAGGTTGTAAAGCCACTGGTCCGTTAGCTTCAAACCGATCCCTAACCGGACTAATATCGTCGTGAATTTCAATATATTCTGCATTCAGATTGACACATTGAATAGGTTGATTCGCGGCAGATGGTTCTTCAAACTCGGGGTCCAAATCGATTATTTCGTTTCTCCGTTGCTCATGATGAGTTGAAGCTTCGTTCTTCGTGCCACTAGAGCTAGCCTCGCCGAGGCTAAATCGGTTTAAATCATGTTGCTCGCGATAAACCGAGTTTGCAAGTGACGCACTTGATTCAGAGTTTGCAATCATGTAATCCTGCAAGTCGTTATCACCAAGACTGTGAATATTCTCCCAATGACCTATCACACCATTGCTTGAGGTCGAATCATGCTCAAAGTTCAAGGCCTCTGATAAATAGCCGAGACTTGCCCTCTCTCCCTGCATCTCGGCTAAGCTTTTACCACAGTTACACTTGGGAGAAGAGAACCCACAAGACTCTCTCTGCTCTCAACAATGTGCCTAATGAGGAGACTGCAAAAGAACAAAAGACAGCAAAATCTTTCAGTAACAAAGACAAACACACTCGATCAAAGCATAGCTCCAAGAATTGTAACAATAAACGGCACCATGAGATTGCATATACAATCATATAAACGCTTCACCTAGAAAAGCACAAGGCGTAACTAGTACTATGCAACTCCTTCTATATACAAATGGAGATTGACTCATAGATGTGATACCTAACTAAGCACACAAATGCTTTAGCAAGAAACAGATGACACATGAGTTGTTTAACTAGATTAAACAGTAACAGTAAGACGAAAATGCAAAGACCAAGCTACTGAACAATATAGTTGATAAGAGTGAAGACATTTTACTCAACTACCACCACAAATGGCATCAGAGAACAAGAGAATATCGAAATGTATAACATAACTACAGGTCAAAACTAAGCACTGCCTCATCAATAATATGGCATCACTGATATATCAACTATCAACCTATTGAGTTTCACAAATCACCGACCGAGAAGTTAAGTATCAGAAAGCTCCAATATCAAGCAAACATATCAAACAACAAGCTAAAGCAAAGGCAAAAGAAATCCACAGCTTTAAGATAAAGCGTCGTCAGATAAACAATCCACAATCCACAATCTCAAACAACAAATTCAGAAGGATCAAATGATTATATCTCAATAAACGTAAGAAGCCAGCTTTATCTCCAAACAAACAAAACAAATCAAGTTCATAGAAGTAGAGAGATCCATTCAAATGCGATGACCAAAGCCTTAAACCCCATCTAAAGGAACCAGCTTTTGAACAACCGATTCACCACAACGGCGATTCTGCTGAATTTCCGATGATTACAACCCAGAAAATTTCCAAATTTTTTTAGCTTTTAACAGTGAATGAAACCCACCAACCGATTTCGATCGAGCTTAAAAGAAAAACAATAAAACCCGGAAAGAACAAAATCAAAACAAAATTCCATAAGAGCTTGAAAACAAAATCGATCTAAAGAACCTAAAATCAAAGAAAAAAAAATCCAATTTTTCGAGAAATTCTTCTTGAAAACGATTCAAATTACCAAAAAAAAAGGGTTACTCGATTGAAGAAGAGAAGAAAACCTACCGCTTTGTTGCAGAGAGAAGAGGAAGACGAAGAGAGAATGAAGGAAAACAAAAGGGAAGCTCTAAGCACAAAACCAAACACAAATGGGAACAGAAAAGAGGATTATTAGGAAGAGACGGCAATGAATTTACCATATAACCAAAAAACACTAAATATTTTAAAATTTTGGATAAAAAAGTAGAAATAAAGAAAGAAAGCAAATGGTCATGAGGAGGGGTTAAAAAAAGTCAGTCATAAGAACAGTTTCCAAAGAACAGAATTGAATAGCTTAACAACAAAAGAATATAAATTTTCAATATTATTATTAAATGTGTAAGTTTAATACACGTTATGTGTAAATGTCGAAGAAGAAGCAAGTTGGCAAGTTAATATTTTTGTTCCTTTGGGGACGGTTTAACAAATGGATATGTCCCACGTCCAACCAAAAATGTATATTAGCCTTCGCTTCTCTTCACACGTCCTCGTTTTAAGTTTTCTTTTATTTTCTTTTTGTTTTGATTTTGAATCCAACTAAACCGAACCAAACCAAGCCAGCAAATTTGGCCACATTTGATTTCTTTATCGCCATATAACTTTGGTCTACTTTGTCCTATATATTATCTTCCATTTCCATTCTTTTTTTTTTCTTTCATTAGATTTCTTACGTTAAAACAAAAAGAAAATACCTAATAAAATAATATACATATTAGTTAATAATAACTGTTTTTACTATAATTACTTTTAAATTTTAGTTAATATGTTTTTCATTGTTTGCAATCAATTTCTTTATCATTTCATGAATTTTTAAAGTGAATAATGATAAGGTTGGTTATTTTTTACAGAATTTGATGTTTTGTAACATAACTTTAAATGTAAATTTCATTCTATTCATGTGTATTTTTATTTTGTTTATAGAAAATTAAACTAGTGTTTATGTTTTGATTTGAATTTTATGGAATCTAAACATGTTCAATGCCCATTTTAAATCTAATTTATAAAAACTAAAAGTAATTTAATTATTTATTTCAAATTGGGAAAGACTTTTATTTTTTATCTCAAAATTTTAGATTAAGAACTACAATAAAGATATCGGAAATAACAATTACCCATAGAAACAAAAATATTGATTAGAAATTTTGGAATCAGACAAAATTATTGATTTATCCAGTTTATTAATTTATTGAATATTGATTTATAGAATTCTACTTTACAAAATAAACCAAAGCAACAAACTTGATTTCTTTCCTTTTTCATATTTTTTTGTTATTTAATTATTATGTAATTTTGGTGTACTTACTCATTTTTGTGTATAGACAATGCCATAAAGATAGTGTAAATATTAATAATTAGTTAGTAATAACTTTTTTTTTGTTAAAAAGCCTTAATAATAACTTTTTCAACTATATTTAATTTAAAATTTGATCATTATATTTTTCATTGTCTCTAATCAATATATTTTTCATTGTTTCCAATCAATATATTTTTCATCTCGAAATTTTTTAATGTAAATTATGAGAAACTTGATTCTTCTTTTCCTAAATAATTTTTACATTCAATTTATGTATATTTTATTTTATCAAAAAATACTTTTTTATGTTTTGGTTTGAACTTATATAATCCAAGCATGTTCAATGCATATTTAAATTTTAATTTATGGAAATTGAAAGGAGTGATTTACACCCAAAGACATTTATCTATAATATAAAAGATGGTCAACTCTCTCCAGTTGAGTGGCACATCAGCATTAGAGAGAGTGACACATATCATCTTAAATTTTATAATTAATAGTTTATTATTTTAATGCAATCAGAATTAGATTAATTAATTATTTATCTTTTAATTACATGATAATTAAATTTATATATACTTTATAAATGCATAACATAATCTACATTTTTTGGTGATAAAACATTTATCACATACATAGTTATTATCGACAAAATATATACATATGTATTATATATTTATTCAAATACACAATATTTTAGAGAAAATTCATATATAATAAATTATCATTAAAATTTTAAGTTTCTTATTAAATAATAAAATATGTAATAATTGATAAGTACTCTTTTTATTATAGTCAAAATATGTAATAAAATATTTCTGTAATTATAACATATTTGTACACTAGAGTTAAAAGAGGTTGCATCATCAGATTAAAATAATACGATGACTAGAAATCAAAGCCAAAAAATATTATCATTGTTCATAAAAAAAAATATACAATAAAATAAATTATAACTAAACTTTTTAACAAATTATATTTTGAAACAAAAATCTGCGCATCACGCGGATACTCATGTAGTAAGTTATAATTTAGATTCAAAGATACTTTTTACTATTGGTGTACTTTCTCTTAAAATGATGCATTTGAAAAACCTATTTTACCCTTTAAGTTTTCTAGAGGTTTTCCTTCTCTTCTCTCTATCATCTATCTCAAAGCAAAATTAGCGATGGTGACTCTCAACGTTTCTTCTCCGCTCCCGACCAAATCGTTCTTACCCTACCGCCACTCCCCTCACAGTCCGATCTCTTTCTCCCCTGTTTACGCTGTCCATTCCACTGACCCCAAGAAATTTTCCCAATCAGCCGCCGCTCCGGCCAAATGGAGCATTGACAGTTGGAAGTTGATGAAAGCTTTGCAGTTACCAGAAAACCCAGATCAGAAGGATCTCGAATCGGTTCTAGAGACGCTTTCCTCTTTTCCTTGAGAGGCAAGGAAACTAAAGGAGAAGCTTGGACAGGCGGCCATGGGTCAAGCCTTTATGCTCCAAGGCGGCGATTGCGCTGAGAGTTTCAAGGAATTCAACGATGAAAATGAGAATTTCACTCCTTTGCTGATATAATCAATGTTCATCCAAACCCCGAATCCTTAAAGTTTTTGTCTCCAAAAACCATAAATCCACTCTCCACCATGACGACAAGACTTTTCAAAGTCAAAACTAATGTTGGGATCAATTTACGCCCAATTAGAGCTGAATAAGGTATATTAACAATTAGTTTCACTCGTAAACTTCTGCAGTATTTCCGACATCAAGATTCCACAATCCCTACAGGTGTACTCGAAAAGACAACCCGGTTGATATTAAAATCGAAAGAGGAACCAAATTGGATATATGATTTCAGGTTCATAGGTTATGCCAAATTTCTGAGTTTGAAAGAACTTAAATGGTTAAGATTGTGTGGTTAATTATCGGTGGATACGATTACGTGGTTAATCATTAATGGACACGATCGACTTAAGAATTAGAGGTGGTGTTCTCTATCAGGTTTTTAAATCTTTCTGAATTTTGAAATCTTCTTAAATTTGACTTTGTTGTGCTCTGATATACAATAATTTTATATTAAGCAAAAACTTTTTTAGTTCGCTTTTGTTGAAACAAGGATCATAGTTAAACACTATATGGAATTCAAAACTTGTGTGGCTACTTGCTGTGGAATTTTTCAATTTTTATGGTTCACTTTTGGAGTTGAAAAATTTAGTTTCGTCGAAGAAAAACTTAGAGAAGTTTGGAAAGTAAGTCGTTAGCTCAGAAGTTTGGTTGATGTAAATAGATGTGAGAACATGGAGATGTTATACACTGATGTCCACGATCTTATTGGTTTATTATCTGATGGAGAATTATAGTATATTATGTATATGTTATCATGGATTAATATGCAATAGTTTCTTGTATCACCATCCTAATGCTGAGATTTCTTGTTGATCCGCAAACTTCTCTGATTAGGCTTGCCGCCTAGGGAGTAGATAGAAATCCTTTTAGCGGGGACTTAAGCTAAGCACTTGAGTACCCGCCATGCCTCTTTTGAAGCCTATCATAGAGTGTGCGT